AATAAATCTACCTCCCATGTACCTTTTCTCAGGAAGCTACCAGAAGATGTTCTCCATCAAAGGGAGTAAACCAAGAAAGAGAAAGAGTCCAGGAAACAAAGACTCCAGTGTAAGAGGGGCAAAGAGAATGAAAGTGAAAGATGAGATAAGAGGGAAAGAAGGTCCTAGGTTGACAGCTGAGCAGCAGGCTAGAGAGCAACCAGTCCAGACTAGAGCAGGTAGGGGGTTCCAGAAAAGAGGACTTCAAAAATCAAAATAAACAAAATACCTGTTATTGAATTTCCTAGTAGGAGATTTGGACAACTCATGGAGAGTTTGGGGATGAATCAGTGGTAAGTACACAGAAAATTATGCAAATGAAAAGCTAAACAAACTGCAACTCCAGGGAAAACAAAAAGCTGTACAAGCAAGGAAATGTAATCAAAACATACATATGACTCAGCTGTGAAAAAAGCATTTATCCAGTTGTAAAAAGGCAAATAGTAACAATTAAGCTAACTAAAATAACTATCCTGGGAGGTTGGAAAGGGTGCATGGTAAAGAGAGGGCCAGAGAGAAGGGAGCCAAATCCTCTTCCCTGGTGGAAGGTCAACAGGTAATGCCTAGAACTGAAAAATCACGATGAGCTTGGTTAGCATGGGTTTTTTTGAGAAATAGAGTAAATACTAAAAGAAATAGCTAAAGGAGTTGGAAGTGGTTTCTCTAAGGAGTGGGAAGGAAAAGTCTTTTAGAAACATTTGACTGTTTAAACTATAAGTATTTATAACTTTGAAGAAAAAAATAAAAGCGAAAATAAAAATAAAAAGATAGACAAAGCAGTCTTCTCTGGTGGAAATGGTAGAGAGAACAGACTCCCCTTTCCCCCATTCAGCCTAATCCTTGATACATCCTTCCTCGGGGGCACCCCAAGGTATTGCCTAGTCGGGGTTCCACCAGACACTATTTAAAAACCAAGGGCTAACAGCTGGAACATGGAATCTCAGACCCTGGGACAAGTGGGTGAGGGAGTGATTCTGAACCCCACCAACTTTCCCTGATATCATGGAAGTTTTAGAAGGGTTGAGAGCAGATATGAATTAAGGTACAGCATGTGAAACAGTGAATCCTTGCCTATAAGCACTGAGAGATGCCTTAGAAATCATCTATCCAGTCTGAATAGATAGTTCCCCTACAGGACAGGTTGGCTTGAAGATGTTTTCTGGCCTTGAGTGAACTTTGCCCAGGGGAAGAAGCGAGAATTGTTGGAGAGTCATTGTTCACAGAACAACCCTCAACCAATGAGAGATGAGAGTTGGTGGATTCACAACCCAGCTCCCCCACCCCGGCGTAGCGGCTCCTCATGGTACTCCAGCCATGTCCTCAGAGGACCCCCAGGCGCTCAGAGTGGCTGCTTGCTCTTGCACCTTGTGTGGATGCGCTGCCTCCCCTTCCCTGTGTCACTTTCCCTCCCTCATCCCTGCTTCCTGGGATCACTTCCCATATACACTGCTCACACGTATTCCCGAGACTCAGGGTCTGTGTTTAGGGGAACTGAAACGAGGACAATTATCTCACCCCGTCCCTCCACCGATGAGGAGAAATGACCCAGGGAAGAAAAAGAACTTGTCTGATTTTACACAGCAAGTTACTTGCGGAGTCTGACATCACAGAAAGAGCATCAGGCTGTGAGTCACTTGATGTAGATCTTTGGCCCTAGCTATGTGGCCTAGGGCAAGTTCCTGCCCCTTTTGGAGCCTGGTTTCCCCAAGTGTCAGCCTCAGCCTGTAGCCTCACTGCCTAGAGGGGCTTTCTCCTTACCTCAGAAAGCCCCTCTTTCTGCAACGCTGCCTCTTACGTACAGATGCTCAAAACGCCCTAGGCTGAAGTTAAGAAAATGCACACACACATCGACAAGGAAGCCACAGCCCTGGATGGTAGCTAATTCTCTAATTTCCTTGAGGGTTGCTGAAATTCCTGGGATGCTAGATCGGTGGCATACGAAATGCCCCACCATTTCCCAACCACATAATGACACCCCCCCCCTTCCTTTTGCCTGGGTCAGCAAATTTGCTGGCCGGCACACCCCTGCAAACGGGGTCATTATGATCGAGAGAGGGAGAGAGGAAGGGAGCAAGGTAGAGAGAGGATGGAAATCACATTAAAGACCAAATCAGTTTTTAAACATTACAACCTGATCCTGGCTTCCCCTGGGGCCCAGCCCCCTCCAGGAGAGCATCAGGGGCTGGGGGCTGGGGGTAGGGTGGGAGACAGGGGGGTGGGGAGGGAGAAAAAGCTTCTGGAATTCCAATTCCACCTCTTCCAACTCTGTAAGCACAGAACGGTCCCTCCTCCTCTGGGCCTCAGTTTCCTTCTCAGTACAATGGGAGTACCCCCCCACACACACACACCCCATTTGTTGGAGGAGTAACCAAGGTCCCGGGTGTCCAGAGGCAAGGGCCCGGGGTCGGAGAGCCTGGTCATGGACCCTGACCTTACCATTTCATATCCAGGTTATTTGGAGAAAGTTCATCCGTTCCTCTGAGTCTCTTCTGCTCAGCTGTAAAATGAGACTAAATCATGGTAAAATGGGCTGTTGGGGTTCAAATCCTGGTTCCACTCCTCTGAGCTGAACCTGAACAAGTCAGTGAACCCCTCCGAGTCTCAAGATCCTTATCTGTTCAATGGTCAGATTACTGTAAATTAAGTGAATTAATTTACAGAAGCTTCTTGGAAGAATGCCTGGCACGTGGTAAGCGCTAGTTTATGATTATTGTTACAGTTGCTATTACCAGGTTTGTGGGGAGAAAGCGCGAGAGGGAACGGGGAACGGGGTACAGGACCAGCGCAGACAAGTTCGCTGAATGGAAAGTTGGTGCCCAGCCTGCGGCCCTCCGAGGCCCCCCCCCAGCCAGCCCTGCGGATGGGGGGCACCCTTCCTGCCACCCTCCCACCCCACCCGTTGAGGAGTGCCCGCCTCCCGCCCCTTTGTGGTCACACAAAGCTGTCCCTCAGCAGGTCTAGGCCCCTGGCAGAGCTCTTTGATGCTAAAAATAGATTATTCCACCGAAAGACTCAGAGAAAGATGGTTTTATGAGCCAAAGGGGGCTGCAGTTTGGGGTTTTCTTTCTTCCTTTGAGGGGCCCCTGGATGCTGAGGGGGGACGGCATCTTATGGGCAAGATTTTCCAGGCCCCAGAGGAACACGAGGCCGCTGGGCTGACCAGCGTCTCAGGGAGGATGTGCTGTGGCCGGTGATCTCCCCAGCGTGCCCCGTCCTGCAGCCTGGGACCCAGGCTCAGGCAGCCCTCTGCTGGGGACAGCCCCTAGCAGCCAGGAGAGTCAGGGCCTCTCCCAGCGGGGCCTTGGTGGGACTGGGTGGTGGGAATCTGCTGGGGGCCCCAAGAACCAGGGGAAGGTTGTGAATCAGCCACATGCCCCCTCCTGCCACCAACTCTGCCTTCCTCCTCTCCCCACCCCACCCCCACCCCGGCGGCTGCCCAGGGCTCTCAGGCCCTTAGCAGCTTACCCTGCCAAGTGCCTGCCACATGCCCTCCCCAGGGGTCCCCCCTCACCTGCACACCCTGGGAAATAGGGGCTTTGGTGAGGATGGTGAGGTGCTGATGGGACCAACTGACATCACACGTGATGACTGGGAATCCCAAAGCTGGGATCTTAACCTGGTTCTTCTGACACCAAGTCCCCAGCACCTGGACCTCCCCAGAGGGGACTTGAAGGAGAGAAGGGGGGGTCAAGGGTTACAGGGGACATGGCAGCAGCACTCGTGCGGTTGAATCCCCTTCTCACCCTGCAACCGTGTGTGAGGCCCTTCCTTCGGTGAGCCTCAGTGTCCCCTGCTGTGAAACGGGGAGAACCATCTCTGCCTGGTTGGCTTTGTGCAGAGGTGGTAGTGGGATGGGGGATGGGGGAGCGGCAGAGATCCTTTAGTTGAGGCCAGGGGACGCTCTCCCCAGAGAGAGGGGGGACGGCCCCTTCTGGGATGGAATTCAGCCCGCGTTCTCCCCCCCCACCCCAGGTGGCCAACCCCTCTCTGGGGTTCCACTGCTCCTGCACCCAGTAGTGTCTGCCTTTGTAACACAGGACTTATGACCGAACTGTATCCGGACCCAAAGGTGCACTCATGGTGGAATTTCAGGCAGGAGGAAAAGCTTTGAGTAGAGCTGCTGGGGTCCTTGGTGAGGCAAATGCTGTGGCTAAAGATAGTCATAAAGTCCTCGGTGCCACTGAACCTGTGGGACCGCCCGGCTGCCCTGGCGTGGCCGTGAGGGGTCCAGCAGAGGGGGGCCCGGGAGAAGGGGGCTGATGCAGGAAGGGGGAGGAGGGCAGGGGAAGGGTTTGGTTCTGAAGGGGGCACCATGAGCAGTCTTTTGAAACAAACAACAGGAAAGAGAGAGGCTGAGGGTGGGGAGGGGAGAAGGAGCCCAGAAAGCGGGCGGAGGGCAGGCTGAGGTTGAATCCTGCTTCCTCCACCTGCGAAGTGGGTGACCGTGGGCAGGTCTCTTCACCTCTCTGACTGCCCCCTGGAAACTGGGCATGGTTGGTGGTCTGAGAGGCCACCATTGGAGACACTGTGCATAAAGCTCTCGGCCCGTGCGTCCTGAGTGGTAGGTTCTTAGCTACCGATCCTTGGCCTTGGCCTGGGTGTCCTGGCCCCTGGGTGGACTGCGTGGCCTGCAGGCCGCATCTTCTACCCTGAACATGGGTCTACGCTAGAGCAGGGTGTAGACCCGGCTGACTGTTGGAAGGAGTTGGGGGAGAGGCGCAGGGGAACCTTATCTTTTTTTTTTTTTTAAAGCCCCAAACTTAGGATGATTTTTATTTACAAAATAAAAGGTTCTTTTGTTTGACAAAAATTACAAAAAATGACTCTGAAAAATAGAAATAGCGTCTCAGGCTCTTGGGAACTACTTTTAAGCAACCAAGGAGTTGGAACTCAGAAGGTTTTCTTCTTTCTAAGAGCTGTAACGGCAACATTTATGAATGCTTTATGTCTTCACAAAAAAATCCCACGGCTCGGAGCTGCCTTTCCTCTGGCGGAAAGGGCTCCGGTCAGGCCAGAGTCTGAAGGAGCAAGATCTTCTCGTTGATGCAGAACCTGGGCAGCACGACCATCAGGTTCTCACCACAGCGGGACACCCGGCGCTCCATGGCCAGGCGGAAGTCCTCCTTCACGCCCTTGGTGATGCCCCGAGTGACCGTGTGGTGCTTGATCAGCCTTCCTTGATTGGGCAGTAATTCCAGATGAATTTTCCCACCTTCCTGAGTCCTTAAGTAGGCGAATTCCTCCAGCGTATCGATATTTGTAACATAGTTGAAAAAATTCTCATATTGGAAATTTCCCTGTTGGCAAATCTTACTGACAGCTTTCAAGAAAAGATTCTCTCCCCATGGCCACTCTTGCTGAAGCAAGACAATCACGTGGCCCAGCGCCATGTCGTCCCTGCTGTCCACGAAAGCTTGGAGCTTAAAGCAAGCCCGCATTAGATGCAGGCAGAACGGCATGATAGCCTTGCCGGTACAAGGCAGCAACTTCAGATCTGAACCTTTTCTAAATTTGGGTTTTATTTTTGAGGGTTCCTCCTGTGATCTGCCTCCATCTTGAATGGGGAGTATCATGTAGCACATCAAATCAAGGACTTGTTCACATGTCATTCTGTACTCCCCTAGAGAAAAGTGGCAGGTCGCTAGCTGGATGAGCGCCCTCTGATGCTCCAGGGTCCCCTGTCCTGTGATCTGCGGCTGAGGAAGCGACCCCTGGAGAGCTGCTAGGTGATGCAGGCTGGCTATTGCTTTTTTATGTTGACCCTGATAGATGATCATATCAGTGAGGAAGATTCTTAACTAAAGCCAAGTATCTGTCTTCCAGGCCAAACAAATTCTTGTAAATTCCTTGTCAAGGAATTCCAGGGAGTAGAGCGACTCCCAGCTCTCCCTGGCTAGCTTAAAGCTCTCGAGCACTTCAATGGAGTTAGCAAGCTCTGCTTTATTGACTACGATGTGACGATTCCTTCCTTTTGCTGAACAGTCTTCGTTCGTCTGAACTCATGGTTTTTTCTCTTCCCTCAGCTAGTTTTCTCTTTTTATGTACTTGTTTGTTACGATCAATTTCTACATCACCATACACATTTGATACATCCTCAAGAAGAACCAGTGGAACTTGGCTTGGGGCATTAGGACCTTGGAATAGAGATGGTTGTATGCTGTTGACATACTGGAATGCATTCTTAAAGAAGGCCAACGTAGTAGAATAAACCACTTGGTTTTTATATTTTGCATGAGCTTCGTTATCCAAGTTGTTCATGTATCTGCAGAGATCCTTCATTCTATGCAAAATATCACCATAGTTTCTTCTTCCAGCAACATTTAAAATCTTAAACAACCTCTCCCAAGGGTCCACAACCTGGGACGATTTTTCAGTCAGCCCTTCTATCATGTACTTCTGAGAGCTCCGTTTGCTAGGTGACGTTAAATCAGATGCTTCTTGGGTACCTTGATGCTGACTCTCTATTTGAGTAGACCTAGTGACATAATTGATATAAAATTCAGCTGCTTTGTTCAAGTACTTATATAATAAATTGGCAGGCAATCGGACACCACGGTTGTTAATTATTAGAGGAAGGACAATGTCTCTGTGCAGGAGGCCTGAAGGTGGAGAGCCCTTGGCAGCCTGCAGCAGGTATCACACACCAGCACCTTCCTTGAGCCCAGCACTGTGATTTGCTGGTGGAAGACCAGAATTTGAAATCTAAGGCCAGTGCCTGCCTCAATCCCGCTGCCTATTTCATCCAAGCTGACTCCTAGAGGCTAGAACTTGGGGGTAATTCCTGGGACTGGTTTTTTCCCTCATCAGAAAATCAAAGAGAGCCACCCCTATCCTGCAGGGTATTGGGAAGGCGCCGTGGGTGCAGGGGTGTGCCCTCTTTCTAAAGTTCCTAGATGGCCAGGCAGCCAGTGCTCCTGACTGGTGGCATCACTCCCCAGTCACTGTAGCCCAAGGTTATAGTGAAAGTTTCAGCTCTGCACACAGCTTGAGAAGACAGATTTTATCACCATTCATAGTAGGTACTTTCGTAACTAATCTCCGTGTAACCAGCTCATGCAGTTCAGCGGCATTTCTGCTGTTATATGTCAATCGATCCCTTTGGCTAGCAGAGCCCTTGCTGGAATCCACACCTTCTGCTCTCACCAACCCACTGAGCTGTCGACTTGCCAAACATCAGTTGGGTTTGTTCTCAAAACCATTTATGCCAGTTGGGTTTTCATGATTACAAAATGTCATTGGATATTATGCCAGGCTAGGGCCATTTTGCCCTCAGATCCATTCTACCCCCTTCCCCCACTAGGCTCTATAATGCAGGGCTCTGATTCCATTAAGTCAGCTGGTTCCGGCTCCACTCCACCGATAGGAGGTACTGGGAGGAGGTTAAAGGATGGGAGGAAGAGAGAGCCCCTTTGATATTTGTCTAGGGGGGCATTGCCATAGTGGCTGAGTCTCCTCTGTGGCTCCAACAAATTCTACTCTGTTGTACCACGCTCTGCTTCCGCAGGTGGGGGAGGGTGTGCTGGCAACACCGCCTCTCCCTTCATCTCTCTTGCCGAAGGGTGGCAGTGGCTTCCTGCTGTGGCCGATCTTGGGGCTCCTCACCACCACTGTTTGGCTTCTCAGCTCTTCCATCACCCGTGTTGCCAATAACCCCCCAATTAACTTTCCTCTGTTTCCAATACTCAAAGGAGCTTCTGTTTTCCTGATTGGACCCTCACTGATAGCAAGGCAATGTTATCAATGATACGATGCAAAACAAGAGTGACTCTTTCTAGGAAACTAGGTTGAACACCTTGGAAAGACTTGGCAAAGGCAAGTTGCTAAGAATAAATTGAATTTGGCAGGGGTGGGACATGGTAAAAGATTGGGGAAAATAGTAAACTCTAGATGCTACTGGATGCGGATTTCTTCGTAGGCATCTTGACACTCACATTCCACTTCAAAGAAGTCTAAGCTGGAAATTGTAGGAGGTGCCTGCTGGGCTGGCTTAAGCCAGAAGACCAAGACGAAGACCATTTAATGCACATTTATACGATTAAAGTTAAAATAAAGGGTTTATGGCACATAAATACTATTTTTTAATGATTCCCTTCCTCCACCAAATTTCTAGATTAACCTGATCTGATTGGTTCAGAGGCCTCAGATGTTTTTTTCAGTGGAGAACAAGAGGAAACACGGCCGCGCGCTGCATGCTGGGAGAGTGTACAGTTGGAGCTAAAGGAAGGGAATTCCAGGAACTGGGCAGCTCCTATGTGCCAGGTGCACTCCCAATATTTTCTCATTTAATCCTTTGTGCAATGGTGAGAAGCGGGCGCTGCAATTGGCCCCATCTTACAGGCAAGGAAGCAGGCTCACAAAAATAGCCTCTGGCCCACAGTCTCACGGCTTCAGGAATATTCCAAAGGCAAGCCTCAGGAATGTTCTTTCTGCTTCCCCAGCAGCCTCCAGGGGTTCATTCAGGCTGGCATTCGGGCTTCCAAGGGGGCATGTGGAGATGATAAGCCTCTTTAGGGATGGACCAAACCAGGCACCCAGGAACACAGTAAACCACCCCCTCGGCAGATGTGCCCCTGGGCCCAACACAGCCTTCTGCACCTCCTCCTGTTCCTGGGCCTAGACTCAGCTTCCCGGGGAAGGGGAAATCCCTCAGGGTGACCAAGTTACAGATTGCTATAGGGGGACCCACTTTTACACATGGAAAAAACAGCGAAGCATGTTAGGGTGGGCTGTTTGAAACTGGAGGTGGTGTTAGTAGATCGGAAACAACTCCTGGGCTGGGAAGCAGGGGGCCAGGGTTCCACTGACTCACTGGGTGAGCTTGGGGGAGTCTCTGCCCCTCGGGGGACTTCAGTTTCCACTTCTGTTAAAGAGGGTCTTTCCTGCCATGTCTGTCTCTGATCTGTTTCACAATGTGGCGGACTCCAAAATGTTCCAAATGTAACCAGGAGGCCTGGGCCCCTTGGCAGGCTCCATGCTCCACTGACTCAAACAGCCCTGCCCAGGCCGGGCCAGCTGATTGGCTCACAATGGGGGCCGTCTGTCCTCCTATGTGACCGACGCTTCTCTACCTGTGCCTACTCATTACAGACCCCAGACTGCGTCACGGAGACTCTGGCAAGGAAACAATGTCTATGGTGCCCTCACCCGGTTGCCTGTCCCTGCGAGAAATGTGTTATCCCCATTTGACAGGGAAGGAAACTGAGGTCCAGAGAGAGGGGAAGTGACTTACCCCAGGTCTTGCAGCTGGGATTCAGCAGAGCTGAGAGTGAAACTCAAATCTGACTCCAGAACCCTGTGGCTTTTACCATAAACCTGCTTCCTCCCTGGACAAATGACAACCCACCACCGCTACCACCACCCACTCGCCATTGAGGAACAAAAGACTGAGCCTTCACGGGGCTCCCCAGGAGACCCAGGCAGCGAGTTTCCAAGGGCGTACTGTTCCCTGGTGACCAGTGTGGCTGTGGGCGGGAACCAGGCTCTGTGGGGCTGTGGACCAGCCCCTCCTCCTCCTGGATGCCCCTCCTGCTCCCTGTTGGCCCTCAGAGACCACCACGAGTGTGAGGATGGTTTCCGGGGCCTGGCTCCAAGCTCAGGCTCCCTGGGAGAGGCCAGAGGGCAGTGCCCAGGTGGCAGAGGGCTTCCTGAAGTCTCAGGACTGAGCCCAGAGGGCACTGCAGGGTGCTGTGGGATTACGGCTGAGACCAGGCTAGTAAATCAGAGGCTGGTGTTCTAATCCCACTCACAATACTCTGTGGCCTTGCACACGCTGACTTCAACATCCTGGGCCTCAGTGTCTGACCTATGAAATGGGCAAGTAGAGCTTGCAAGGGAAACCGTGAAAGCCACCACACTCCACCTCCCACCCCAGCCCCCACCTGACCGGGCTTCTGGGGACAGAGTGTAGGACTGAATCATTTCCCGTGTCTTTTCTACTTCGGAGTCCCTCTGAGCCTTGAACCTTCTGGGACATGAAGGATTCCAAAAGTGTCCCGATAAAGGGTAATGGCAGGGGTGTGTTTGTTGGGAGTGGGGGGGGTGGGGGGGTGGGGACTGCCATGGAGGCAGGGAAGCCCAGACACACTCGGCTAAAACAGAGAACCCCAAGGAGTTGAAAGTGGGCAAAATGAACAAAGGGCCTTGAATGCCAAGCTCAGGGCTCAGAACCCAAGCTCCGCAGAGGGCTCCTTGGGCATGGACGGCCCTGCTGCTGGCTTTCGCCAGGGAGGCCTCAGTGGGCAGGCTGCACTGGGGTGATGCCACTTCATGTGTTTCCCTTTGTACTTAATCCCAGCTGCCGTAAAATCCCCCTGAAGTGCCACACATGTGGACGCTTCTCCCTGGCAACAGCAGTGGTGGACCATGGCAGGGTGTCAGCCGCAGCCCCGGGGCGGGGGCCACGGAGGGGAGCCTTACCACCCGCTGGTGGGTCTGGTGAGAGCCCTCGGGGCTCCCAGCCCGCCCAGGCCAACACTGGCCTTAATTAAAAATGAGTCTCCTTACAGGATCCAAACCACCGCCCAACCACCCCCTCTAACTGCTTTCAGTTCTGCTCCCGGGCCGCGTGCTGAGGCCAGCCCCACAAATAAAAGGCATCACTTTTTCCCCCCTCTCTTTCTCTTTCTCTCTCTCTCTCTCTCTCTCTCTCTTTTTTCTTTTTTCCAAAAGGAGAGAGAGGCAGCCACAAAATCTTCTAAGAGGCTGTGACGTCACAGCCCAGGTGACCCCAGCCCAGCCAATGGGCCAAGGCCGCGAGCTGGCTTCTTGCATCCTGTGAGCTGAGGTTGGGTTGACACTGTGAAGGCCTGGTCCCTCAACCACAGAACCACAAGGCCAGGCCCTCGGCCGCCTTCAGGGCCCTGCGCGGGTGCTGGTTGGCTCCTGATCCTCCCCACCCCCGGGCCGCCCTCGCACCCACTGGAGCCCGGGCTCTGTCGGGGGTGAGCCTCATTCATTCATTCCCCGTGGCGCTGATGTTGGGCCTGGCTCTGCTCTGGCTGCCCTGTGAGCTCCTCTGCCCTGGCCCCTTCCCGCCATCTAATGATACACTCTGCATACGCTTCTGTTGAAAATTTGTGGCTAGACATTCCTGTGGGACTGGGAATCCAAATTCTTGGGTACAAACAGAAACTTACTTTCCTTGGGGATTTTTTTTTCTCTCTCTCACTCACACACGCACTCTCGCGTTCTTTCCTTTTTTCTTTTTCGTAGCAATAGGGGAAAAAAAAAGACAAAACAAAAAAAAAACAAACAAACAAAAAGCGACACTACCACCCCCCCTTCTATTTTCAAAAGTAGCTAGGGAAAA